GTATTATTAATTAAGTATTATTATTTCTAATGTTGTTTACCTCCTTCAATGAAAGCCAATTCCACTTGCAGTTTTGAGAGTCGGAGGCCACGTGAAAGTGGGCATCCATCGATGAGCTTTCTTTTTCTTGGGGCAGCTGGGCTACGTTTCCCAAGCACAGTTGAAACAAATTATAAACCCCACATTTCCTCAAAAATTGACCTAAAAGACCGTTAAGCATCTTTTAACCATCATTTTCACTTTGTATTGTTTTACGCACATGAGTAGTTTTATAATTAACAATCCTAGTCTACTGTCTAAGGAGAATGAACCACCCATTATTAATTATGGAGAATGCCAGCTGTTTATGCTATTTTCTTTTCTGTGGCTGCAATCCCCCACCTCCCCCCTCCCAAAAAAAAAAAAAAAAAAAACAACTTCATTGTAAGGAGACTGATTGCTATCCAAAATTCTTTTGCTTTTGATTCCAAGCATGGCATATTCTCATGTGTTTGTGATTGTAAACAATGTTTACCTAAAAATCAATGTCATTGAAGTTTTTAGGACACTTTGTTGACGATGCATTTTTTTTTATTGAAAAAATTTGTAATTTAAAAATAAAAGAAAAGATTATAAGTGTTAGAATTACTGATGATAAATATTGATTGTGTACATTAAGCAGATAGGATGGTGTATTTAACACATTTTAATTCTTGTTTGGTGGGAAAAAAAATTAAAACTAAACATGTAAAAGAACTTGAATTCGTTGAGATACAGCCCTTGAATTTGGGATATTTAGTTGAGATCAGAGGCAGGCAAAGATCTAGCACAAAAACATGCTAATTCAATGTAGACGTTAAAGTCATGTGCCCGCTGCTTTGGAAATAATTAGAAATTTCCTTCCATTTCAGTACCCACGTTGTTTTAGAAGATAAATTAGGACGTCATGTGCATGTTACTACGTAGAAGATAATGTGGGTATGATCAGATTTAGATAAATGTGAAATTTTGACTATTGTTCGGGATGACTCTTATTCAAAGAACTGGCACCAATAAGTTGGGGAATCATATATCAGAATCCAATCATACATGGTACAGACTGGAGCAGGAATTAACCATTTCCTGCAAAATGACAGAGTTGCCAACTGTTAATAAGCTCTAATACTTAATCATGTTTCACTTCAAATTCAAAACTACAATTGAAATTTCCAATTAACATGATCAAAATTTGAACCCTAAAATTTTAGGTAGTGAATTGGAAAATTTTGATTCTCATTGAAATCTCAATATGTAGGAGTAGGACACCAAAAAAAAAAAAGGAAACGAAAATAGAAACGGCAAACTTTGAAGCGGAAATGAGAGATTCAGAAAATCAAATGAGCTACTATTTTTTTTATGCAATAAAAAAAAAAGTATGGAGCATATAAGTATAAGGTCCATGTGCGATGGGCACAGCATTTAGCAGTCTTCAAAGTTAAAAGTGGTCCAATTACTAAACCCCAGAGGGGAATCAGAATCCCCATATCTTCATGATTGATTCAGCATTCCCCAAATCCATTTAAGCCCAATCAACAATTTTTTAGCTTAAAATACAAGGCAATGCCTTCTCTGAGCAAATGGGTGGCATTTCAGAGAAAAAAAAATTCAATAGGGGCACATTTTCTCCTGACAAGTTTGAATATTCCTCCAATCTACTTCATTTTTTTATACTGGGGGAACCCATATCTTTAAAATTCATAAGTTTACAAAATGGAATCCTTATTGTAATTTTTGTCTAAGAAAACTTCATTTTTATCTAACCTATTTCTAATTCATTTACCAAGTGGGGCTTCAACTTAATGCACGGTAACCTGGATGTAAATAATATGCATTCCTTGAGAAGGTAGCAGTAATATTTAGAGGGAGCCAGGAAGGGCAGAACTCTGTTGACTTTGCCTCTTCCTTTCAGGATAAAATACTGGCCTGGCTGGCTTCCCTAACCACTGACCCCATGGAATTTTTATAGCTTATAAGAAGCAATAGGAGAATGTGTAATGTAGTTTTAACACGATAGAAAACCAAGGAATGTGTGCAGAATAGGAGGTGTCGGTGAGAGAACATGGGAGTTTTCAGATTGGAAACTGTGCTATTTCACCACATACATCTAACCAGGACATAGGAACCCTGCAGAAGCAGGGCCCACAACCCCCAAACCGTTTCACTTATTAATCAATTTTACTTAGCTCTCTCTCTCTCTCTTTTTTTTTTTTCTATTCCAGTTTGCAGTCAGATCAGAATGGCTGAGATTGTAATTATGAAAAGGTAAAGATTAAAGGGTTTCTGCAGATCTGAAATGCATGTGGGTTAAACGAAAAAGGTTAGATAAAGGGTAAAGAAAGAGAAAGGGTTCAGCATGCATTATTTCTGTTTTTTGATACATAATAATTAGTATCAGATTCAGAACAAAGACAAGAAACATGAAAGAGATGTTAGGTCCATTATATATATGTGAATAATACCTATGGATATGGCTTCGAGATTAGAGAGGTATGTAGAAAGAGAAATAAGCTCTTCTCACATGGTGCAACCCAGAAACGGATACCGCAATTCCATTGTATAGACAATTCACATGGGGGATACGGCAGCTTAACCCTTGACAAGTTTTAGAACGCCACTTTATCATCCTAATAAGGCCATGCCAATTTGCTGCTCATTCGAAGAGAAAATGTGCCGTGATTAAAGTGGTTTTGTTTGGCACGAAGGAAAACTGACGTTTCAGTCAAGAATGTAATTTTCCCTATTATAGTCACAGATGGTTTGACCTAAATAATAAGTTTGACCACATCATGCCTTAAATTAGGTACCCTCCCCATAAATAAATTTGCATTCAGAACCCGGATAATACCATCCTGAAAACAGGAAAGCTTAGCATTTCGAGGTCAGGGACGCACATGGATGGAGTTTAGTTTACTCTTCATGTTGGATTCGCTTTATGTTCACTATTACCCAGTCAGAATATCAAGTTTACAATTTGCAACTTTTCACCAACAATGAGGATATATACATAAAAAAAAAAAAGGTTTCTTTTCCAAATTCAGATATTTGTTTCCTCGATTATCATGCAGATTGAGATTATTGTCAATAACAAGATACACAAAAATCATTGACCGATAAACTACCACAAGCAAGGGAAAAGTGTAATGTCGTTCATTTCAGCTACCCAAATAATTTGTTTACCTTTATTAGGAATAGTTTATTCCAATTGAAAAAAAGCTAAGAATTTATGAAATCCATTGCATATCTATTGTCTAAATATGCAGGATCGATCGCCCTTTATCCTAAATTAATGTGATATATACTATATATGTTTTTACGTAAAAGCAAACTATTGATTCTTACGAGTCTTGTGTTAGCAACAAAATTAAGGCTATCGCGCAACAAAAACATATCCCCTTTATTGCATTATAATTAATTAATTAAAATTACATAAAATTTATATTTATAAATAATAAATTTTATAAAATTTTAAATATATAATTATAATAAAAAATTATAAATAAAAACTGCATAACAATGCATGAAAATGAAAAAATTTAATAAAAAATTTTTCAGTGTATTTACATGACATAAAATAAAAGGTGCTGGTGCAACAGCCTATCAAGCTAACTGATTACTTAACGCCCTTCATTCTTACTTGGCAGCTGGCACCCCATTGGTCCCTTTTCCAACTGTAGTCACTACTTAGTAGTTATAGGCTTATAGCATCCATATTCTTACACCATGCCAGTTGTAAGCACGTATGTCAACCACGTGTTACGCTATAAAAATTGATCGCCCAGGTGCCAAGCTCTTCTACGTCCAGTAATGCAGCCACCTATAATGGAAGTTTTCGAACTGCTCAGACACCGGGTTTAGCAAGCCGGTCAAGGTGGTTGTGGTTGTTCTTTTGTTTTGTTTTTGTGTTTGTCCAGTAAAGGCTGTGTTTAAGTCTTTGAACTTTGAAGAAAGGAAAACGATGGGTTTATTTCTTTTCTTTGTCTTATTTTCACGGGCTGCACTTTACCATATATTTATCACCTCTTTCGTTTGCATTGGTAAAGCCATTGTTTTCTTTTTTACTTCGACTGTTCATACATCTTCTTCTCATATATACATAACCATATATGTCCTCGTGATTCACGTTAATGGTTTCATTCTCTTATCCATCTCCATTTGGACGGCTTTTAATTGATTCAGATGCAACACACTGCTCTACCTGATCATATATATATATATATATATATATATTAAGGAGCCAAAATAAACAGTTTGAAGCTTGAGATGGCAAAAAATGAGGATATCTCTTGACGAATCGATCAAGATGGGGTATAACTAAGAAGCTTAAAAGAAAATGCAATTTAAAAATTGCCATTACTAGGCTCAGGAAATATTTTTAAAAAAATAAAAATCAATTCAAAATCATAATTTTAATAAGAATTGAATCTATTTTTTTATTTAAATTAAATATCAAATATTTTAATTTGATTTAAAAAATATTTTAGTTCAATTGAATCATATAATTTATTAATTTTTATATAATTTTATTTGTTTAAATAAAAATAATTATTTTATATAAATTTATTTAAATATATTAAAATAATATAAAAATAATAACAAAATTTTAAAAAATTAAATATCAATAAATCAAATCAAATCGATATAATTCATTTATTTAAAAATCAATTCAAATATAAATCAAATTTTAATATATTAATCAAAATAATCTAAACTAATTCGATTCAATTGGAAAAAATGGAGGTTCAGATGTCAAAAATGGGACTCAAATCTTAAAGGAAGGGATTAGTGTAAGGGTTAATTACCAAAAGAGTTGGTCGTCGTTCGAAAGGCACGAAGATTAAAGGATCAGATGAGTGACGCGTTACGAGAAAGCATTGCCCGCGGAGGGTTAGCTGCAGCTGCAGGCTCTGTGCTACTTATAATAATACTAACGAAACAAAGTCGTGAGAAAATTACAAACCCCCACCAATTTTCGAAAATTAAAATAATTAAAATATCCAGGCTTTTACCTCATACTCCCAATTCCCATTTCCTTATATGTCCCTAAACGACTATTAATAAGTAACGTACTAATTTGTCATTTTATTAAAAGGTAAGGGCAAGTTACGTCCAACTAAACTGCCCCCACAACTACTGCTCTTTTTCTTAACGTTGCCCACCCTTATAAAGACCAGAAAAGCGGGAGATGCTCCAGTAACAACCCCACTCAGCCAGAGAGAAGAAAAAAAAGTAGAGAGGGATTTGAGGGAAAGAAAAACAGATAAACATGGAGAGAAACGTGAAGCAGGAAGTTTAAAGAAAAGATAAGTTGAGAGACAAAAGAGGATTACTGAGTTAAAACGGAGAGTGAAAGTTCAAAAAAGGAAAATGACGACGGGAATAGTGCAAGAGCAAAATCTAGACAAGCAAATAGGGAAACAAATGGGCTGCATGGCTGGTTTCCTTCAGATCTTTGATCGTCACCATATTCTTACCGGCAAACGCCTTTACTCTACCAGACGCCTTCCCCCAACGCCGACGCCCGTTAGTTTCTTTTTCTTTTCTTTTCTCCTTTTTTTTTTTTTTTTGGTAATGTGGATGACTGGAAGTGAACTTTCTAGTGAAATGTATTTCTACTTTGGTTTTCCTTGTTTTCTTTACTTTTTTTTTTCTAGGCAAGTGAAACGACATCGGAGCAAGAGAAGACCGTTGAGTCACCATCAATATCGAGAGAATCAGAGAAGCAGCTACAAGGTCGATCAGCACCACCACCGGACTGTTCGAAGCAATCTCCGGTTGTGTCGGAACTCCGATCTCCGGTGCCGGAACCGTCTCCTCCGGCGGGTAATCAAAACAAGACATCTCTTCCCCTTCCCATTTTGGAATACAAAGAAGGCAACGAGAGGTCACTATGGAAATTCTCCAAGGAAGCTCCTAGGCTTTCTCTTGATAGCAGAGCCGTCGTTGATGCTAAAGGAAGCCTTAAGCCACGAGAGATCCGTACCAACGCCGTCATTTTATCTGCGAACCAGTGCGAAAGCAACAGCCAAGAAGATGGAGTGGATGATAACGACAAACAAAGACGGTCACCTAGCGTAATCGCGAGGCTCATGGGACTCGAACCGCTACCGAATTCGGATCCCGAACCGAATAGAAAATCGGAGCTCCGAAGATCCGCGTCGGAAGCAAGAGGCAGAGATCTATTTCAGTATCGTTTTATAGATGGAGTTAATTTCCAGTTAAAACAGAGCCAGCAACCAAATTTCCAAAACGGAGGGGTTTCAAGCAATGCCATAAGAGAAAATGGAGCTAAACAAGATCGTGTACTAAGTAACAGATCAGAAGGCTTAAGAAATGAGAAAGCTGAACCGGTTAAAGCACCGGTTCGAGGAATAGGCCAAAGGAAATGTTTCTACAATTCAGCCGATTTCTTTCCCGAGCCAAAACAAACCGTTTCCATCTATGGAGAGATTGAGAAACGGCTTAAGCTCAGAGGAATCGACGAGCCGTCGAAAGATCTCGAGACTCTTAAGCAAATCCTCGAAGCTTTGCAACTCAAAGGCCTTTTACACACTAAAAAACCTCCTAACCAAACAAATAACAGGAACTTTGCTTATGAACATGAACAATCTCCAATTGTCGTTATTAAACCGGGAAGATCACAGGCTTCCGCAGTCAGAAGGATTGACAACGATTCACTTCCTTCAAGTTATAGATCAAGACGTGGAGCTCGCTGGAACTTGAATCTTGAATCGCCGCCGACGATGAGTCCGAGACGGGACCGGCCGGAGAGTGAATGGAATTTACGGAACCAAAGCAGAGGTAGGGGTTCGATTTCTCCGACGAGGAGTGAATGTGGCATCAAGAGTCCTAACAGAAGGCCGTTGAACGTTGAAACTCAAAGGAGAGGGGATGGTAATGTGGAGCAGAGAAGAGTATCTCCGGTGCAGTCCCCTCGGGTTAATGTGAGAAGAACTGGATTGGATCGGACGACAAATAGATCACCCAGAAACAGGAAATCAGCGACTGAGATTTTTCAGAATGAAGAGAAGGTATTTATCCCAGCGGAGGATGAAACATCCACTGTTTCAGAGAGTAGCATTAGCACTTGTTCTCAAACTGATACGGAGGTAAATCTTTGCTCATTTGCTAAATTACATTGGAGATTTGGTTAATTAATTTAAAAGTGTAGTAATTTTTTTGACATGGCCTTTGACTTTTACAGAGATCGAAGGTGGAGGAATACAAGGAAGGAAGGAGCCTTCTGGAAAGGTGTGATAAGCTGCTTCACAGCATAGCAGAGATGACCGCTGCTACGACTGAGTTGCAGCCGAGTCCGGTCTCGGTACTTGATTCATCGTTTTACAAGGAGGAGTTGTCTCCTTCCCCTGTTATGAAACGGAGCATCGATTTGAAAGGTAAGCAACGAAAATTTCATTACTGATTTACTGGTACTTTATTTGTTTCGTTTTTTTTTTTAAAAAAAAAATAGGAAAGTCTACGAACTGATTTCGATTTGCTAGATTTGGCATTTGACTCTGCTGACGCAAGTACTACTATTTGGTAGACCTGATTGTAGTTTAGCCCTAGGCATGCCACTACTGATGAGTCAAATAGTCTTATTCAAAACTTAAAGCTTTTCATGATGTTATAATCTTAGACTTTTATTTGTTTATTAAATCATGGTTTGTCAAACCGCTTTAGTATGATTTAATTGGTTTCTTTGGGGCAATACATATATAAAGGATAAACAATTTTTGGTTTTTTCTTTGGAACGGGCTCATGTCGGACAACTATTAATAGAAGTGGGAGAGAATCTAAGTGGGGTTGGCGGTACCATCACGTGGGATTGTTCAGTTTGATTTTTGATGGTGATCGGAGGAAAAAGGGTATTGGTTAATGAAGACGCCGTGTTGTAGGCTAAACTCAACCAGTAAAACAAAGAACTGCAACTATAATCAAAGAACGGGCATAAATAGGAAAGTGACTGAAACCTCTTCCCTTCACTGCAAAACAAAAATTACCTGATGTCAGAAAGGTGTTAAAATCCCTGTACTTCCCTCTAAAGCCAAAGAGAAACGAATATGCTCCGCTGAACTTGTGTGACAGGTGGCCGTTGGAGGCCATTACATTTTAAAGCATCCCATGCTACCTTTGGTAATTGTAGGAAATGGGCCCACCTCTGTTAATTGTTAAGCTACGGGCATATGAGAAAGAGAGTGAAAGCGACGACTGAATTTGGTCTTTTTTTTTTTTTTTTTGAGTAATCATCTTCTGTCAGTATGAATTACGCCTTTGTTAGTGTCATAATCCGTACTGATATCGACTTTGTTTCTTCTTCAATCAGATGTTGGATGGATGCTAAAACTTTTTTTGTGATTGGGCAAATTTTCAATCAACCTGATCATCAGATTTTAACATTTTCTTTCATTATCTTTGGTGAAATTATCAGATCATCTTGTTGAATCAGAAGATGAACTGTGGAGTCCTGCAATCTCATCCACTGCATCAAAGTCCGAAGATAAATCAGATGATTGTGATTTTATCTACATTTCTGATGTCCTCAGAGCATCCAATTACGTGCCTGATGACTCTGACGTCTTTTTGTTGCTGGAAAAGCAACAGTATCTCAAAGGTAAAGACGCCTCCAAAGTCTCTCGACTCCAAAGGAAGCTTATATTTGACACCATCAACGAAATTCTCAATCGAAAGAGACAATTACCTACATGGAAGGTTATCTCCTGTACAAAATCAGGGTCTGGACAGACATCATTGCAACAAATTTGGTCCGAATTCCAAAAGATTCGGGAAAGGGACTCGTCGGATGACTTGTTTGAGGTCATTTGTGGTGTGTTAAGAAAAGACCTCGCCGGGGATGCCATGAACGGTTGGGGAGATTGCCCTATTGAGATGTCCGAAACTGTCCTCGATATTGAACGTCTAATATTTAAAGACCTGATCGGCGAAACCATCCGAGATCTCGCTGCTTTTGCTGGGAAAAGTAATAAAATCCCAGCACCTCGTAGGAAATTGGTTTTCTGAAAGTGAGGGATGAAAAAAAGAGAGGCCTTTAATTATTCTTCGTGCGCTTTCAGCTCCTTTTTTTTTTTTTTTTTCTTCTAATTTTATATATTCTGACCCTCTTTTCCTTTTTTTTTTTTTTGTGTTTAAGAAATTTGGGAGATGTTTAATCTTCATGTACCCGAAATCCAGGCATATCTAATGATCGCTTTTGCCGTTTTGCAAGCTGTAAAAGAGGTCGAATAATGTTTTGTGACCAAACTTAAAAATGTATTGTCAAGCGCATGTGTAAGCTATCAAAGCATAATCACGTAGGCCATTTGACATCATCACTGAAAAGTGTAGGCAATCCCGAAAATGGGACATCGTTTTTAGCATTGAAGCAAAGTTAAGAAATGAGTTCTCTTCCTAACTGACGGATAAATCATGCCATGACTTTGGCTGCTTTTTCATGATCTTGTCTTCACTGATAGTTGTTGATCATATATTATTTTCCGTGAAGGCCTCACAATGGTCAATTTAGTCAGGCTGTCTTGTAATTGTTAAGCACGTTCATCGACTGTTGGTTAAATGCCATCTGGAATTGAAGCATGATATGAGGCATTGGTTTTGTTCATCGGACTCATCTGTTCCGATCATTTATAAAATTTTTATATTCATTCAGCCAGAGTGTTTCTTAACGAGTATTAATAGCATTTTGTGATCTTAAAACCTAGTGGTATCCAACTGCTCTAGTTATGGGCTCCAGAGGTTGTCACTACTTTTCAATTGGGTCCGTACCTTTTAATTACAACAAATGGAGCCCAAGACTCATAATTTTCCGGTAATCCTAGTTCAAGAACAGTAACAAAAACCGTGTACTGTTCTTTTTGTTTCTTGGCATTCAATTTGCAGAGTACTTGTATTTTTTTTTTCTCTTCTTAAATGCCTTGGTAGGAAAATCTGCAGCCGGCTGCAGGCTGCCAGACCTCTAGTAGTACTGCCATTTATAAAGGCGTGTACTGTATATTATGGGCAAGGCGCTGGCCGTTGGAGTGAGGAGTGATGGACCTTTGGCTGTAGCATTCGCCTTCATAGATCTTCTCTGGTGGTGTCAGTGTGAATGAAAAACCATAGGCTCTCTCCAGGCTGACAAAAGGGCGAGTACACTGTCCTTGGGTTTGAATTCAATGGCGCTGCTTTGAATGTTTTTTCTTTTCAGATCTTTTGCTTAGATATTTGGCTTCTGTTCAGTTCCCTGTCTCTTAAAAACAAACGATATTACAAATTTGAAATGCACTGAAAAGGATGCTTGCTAGCTACCGAGGATGGATCATCGTCCTTCCGCTTGTGTATTTTGTTTGTGGTTTTGTTTTCTTCCTCGGTTTTAAATGATTTTGTCAGCGAAGAACAGCGGTGTTTTTACTACTCAATGATGCAAAACCTGGTTTCTTGTCTACAAAACCCCCAACACTCTTTAAAAATTTATCCGAATGAGTTGGTTGATGGCTTGACGCAATCTATCTTTCACTTGAATTTACAATTTGTTTGGGAGGCCCAGGAAGGACAGCGTTTTTACTTTTTACTTGACAAAGTCCTTTAAAATTATTTAAGCAAAATAGTGTGTTAAACAGAAGCAGGGCAGGGCCGCTCTCAATTAAGTTTCTGAAAGAGTTGTGGATAAGACTTGATGATGTTAACGTTTCTATTTGAGGGGCCTTTGCCCAACCCTTTTTCCTGCGTGGGGGCTACAGCCAACTGTGAAAAATAAAAAGAACACTATCGAGTAAATTGCTATATTCTCTGGCCCCTCGATTTCAAAAACAAAAAAATTGATTGTGATGGAGGAAGAAGAAGACACATCCAAGTTAAAATTATAGCAGGCGTGCCTGCCATGTTTGAAACCACCGTCCAGACTCCAGAAAAAATGGAAAGGAAACTATACCTTGGGCACAGGTTTAGGCCCAAAAGATTATACATCACTTCTTCACTTTAGCTATAGTTATTTTTGGTTCGACTCAATAATTTTGAAGCTGCCAAAATTTATAACCGAGTGTACGATCTGATAAGGATAAAAAGTGAACTCTTTGGTATGATGAAGAATATCCAAACCTCCGTTACCAAAACCACCAGCCTCATTACTCTTTCTTAACTATAGGAACAAAACTGTTCTTTTTTTGTATTTTTCCTTTCTTTCTTTTGATGTTGCTTGGAGTCTGGAGCATTAACAATATTAATCAAACACTTTTACCCGTTTGGTTTAATTCATTGAATGCTTTTAATCCTCATCTAACCAGGCTCGATTTTTAATGTATGCTGTTGTAGTCATTATCTGAAAATGAACACACACAAAAATGGAAATTCAATCTCCACATGAGGCTTCTTTTTCTTCCTCAATTATTAGGAATGGTACCAGTCAGTTGGGGCTTGTATCAATCAAATGTAGTACCATTTTTTCATATTATTTGTCATTGTTTTGTTTTGTCGCGCAATGTATTGTATAATACATTGAATTGAAATGTTTTTAAGTTTTGTGCGGTTTATATGTAACAGATAAAGAGACAAACCAATCCATTTCCTTTAGTTCCCAGTTTAGCTGAGGGCCTTGATCTCTATTTTTTATTCCACTTAGTTTTCTATCACAGGCCTTGTGGGCCATGTTCTCACATGGCTGGGCCCTCTTATCACTAGGCCTATCCATTTTTCCTGCTGATGTGCATAGGGTTAGGCCCGCCTGAGTGATACTGGTGCCTGGCCCTGGGGGATTGTGACTGTTAGCTTTTTAGCTTTTACTCACTAATAAGAATAATTCCATGCCTGAGTAGAATTCTTTTAAAAACAAAAGAAGCTAAAACCAAGAATATTTTTTCTCAAAAAAAAAAGAAAAAAAAGAAAGGGATTGATGGGGTCAATCTCATCTCATCTCCCATAGGGCAGGAGCTTATCTGTTTGTGCATTAAGAGATATGGATGGTGCAATTTAGGCATAGACACATGCCATTGCTGCAGACTACTTTTCTTATATTTGAATGGTTAAGTCTTTCAAAATTCAAGGGTATGTCGATTTCTTGTCTCCTTAGCCGAAACTTCTTTTTTTTTTTTCTAATTTTGGAACAAAAAATAATTGAACCCAATTCTTAGAACATATGAATATTTGCATGGATAATTGAATCAAAATCGTTAGGTGCCTATTACAAAAAAGTTGTTTAACAATCAAATGATTATCACAGAATTTCAAGAAATGCATAACCATAAATAAAAGTATGTGACATCATTGATATTTGATGGTTTTCAATTTTGATAAGAAGAATAAGAAAAATGAAAATTTTTGTTGTGTCCACAGCCACTAGAAAACAGAGTTGGACCTTGAGCCTTCGTTTTACTTCAAAGCTAACGGTTTGGGCAGAATCGGGCCTTATGACGTAGCCGTACATCCCAGATATGCGCATCTGAAAAAATTAGACCCATATGGCACCGATCTGTTTTGTTAGTTTTTCTGTTGAAAAATAAAAACTATATAGACAAGAAATGTTACTTTGTTAGAAAATGGTGGAACGTGAAACAAGCTATTTTTCCGGTACTACTTCTCATCTTTTTTCCAATGTTTTTATTATATTAAATTATGAAACTTATGATGATTTAGAGAGTTTGGCCAAAAGTCTGAATTTTTTGACAGTTGCTTGCAATTTTTTTTCTTTTCCTCTTTCCCTTTAGTCCAGACATTCTAGAAAGTCGAAAGTATCAAAATTTTTTTAACTCAGAAACCACTTTACTATAATTCTGTAGTAATTTAAAATATGGGGTTTTGAAGACGTAATTATAAAGAGTAATAAGCTTTGGTCACGATGACCTAATCTTTGCTTTCTAATTTTATATGTTTGGAAGTTCTGCATTCGGTCAAAACTGATGTCATTTTGAACCAAAAATGACCTCATCTTTTTAGCGTATTTATAGCAAATAAGGAAATTTAAATCACTGATTAGCATCTGGAAATCAAAAAGAGCATGTGATATTGTTCCATCAGGAATGTTGTTTGTGCAAGTACTGGCCTTTTCTAAATCTGGGTCATCCTTGGTAGATATGGGATTTTCAGTTTTTCATAAGGCAACAGGTTTTAAGTTGTGTGGGAGAGTAAGGATGTCAAAGCATTGCAATTGGGATGCTGAAGCTGGGCCTTAATCAAGGAAAACGAAGGATTTATGTTTAGGTTAGGAAGCCATATAAATTAAAGAAGTAATTTTCTTGCCAAAATAATACTATGACTAACTGTCCACTGCTATATGTTCGTTAAATCTTTTCTGGTCATCCTAATTCTTGCTTATTTGGTCAGTGTGAGAACCAAATTCCCTGGATCATTGATCTTATTGTCTCCATGCAAGAAAGTACTTTCCAAGGCAATGAACAACCCTCCCCCCTCCAGAAAATAAAGTTAGCCTGATTTTAGTTGGTGCCAAATAAAGTAATCGTAATCATAGAATCAAAGAAGTTGTTATTTATTATGAAAACTATCATTTTGTATGTACTTGTGGTAACGAACTGATTTCCGTTTCATGAAACTTAGCTTCTCTTTTCCAAAGTGACAACATGCGTTAGGTCACATATTGGTTAAGATGAAGGGTTCATTGATGTTATAGCCTTTATTGTGAATTTAAGATGGAAAATCAAAATGTAGGCCATCTGGTGGAGTTCGTGAAGTGTTAAAATATTTCAGCAGCACTTGCCATTGGGGATTAGAGATGATAAAAAAGGGGAAACAGATTACTATTCTCGGAAATCAGCCTCTTAGTATATTCTTCAAAAACCAAGCGTTAAATGTTTGTTTTTAATTATTTTTTAATATTTTCGATCTCTTTGGCGTTTTGATGACACCCTTATTAGTTCTTGTTCACATTCTGTGCCATTGAGATCCAAATATTTTCATCTTGGAATGATACAAATTTCTTTCTAGTATCCAATATCTCTTGTCCACCCCCTTATTCCAGCTGTCTCATATTTGAATGCCAAAATACTTCAAAATATTATTATGAAGGAAATCAACTTTCGGCCGAATTTCAAGGTGAAAGTGGGTCTAATCACTCTCCGGTAGACAGAAAAGACATCAGAAGAATCTTAGCTTGCTCAGTTGGCAGCACCAAAGGTGGAAGACACAACTTGTCCACTCTTGCTGACCGTAAAGCCTACAATGAATTTTCAGTCAAAACACTTCTCCTAATAGGAAAGCTTGTTGGCTTTGCCATTAGCGGTAATTGAAAAATAGAACTGTATCATCATGGTCAAATCGTCATCAAAAGATCTAAAGAAACCTCTAGAGTATCATTTGCTCTGCTTATAGAATTTGTTTATTAATTTCCAGTTTTAAGAAGAAAAAAATTATCCATTTCAAGATCTTTTTAATCTTAATGATAATCATGCTTACCAGTTTTTTGTGGGTTGGTAGAATGAGAATGTTCGTGGTTAATATGTACAGCCTGGTGAGTGTATTCTTTGAACAATAGGGAAAGTGTGCATATAGTGGAAATGCTATGTTGTTTTTTACACCTTGAAGGGTGATATGGTTGCCGGAGGTGGAAGCATAGCCGCGGTAGTCATGAAAGTAATAAATAAGGAAGTCATTGATAATTTCTATTTTCCACAGAATGGTTGAGTTCCTTTCCGATTTGAGATTTAACTGAGGCATAAAATAGGCATTGTTGTTTGAGTATTTAAAATGAAAATATTCCTGTGAAGTTCATAAATGAATATGGAATTTTGTAGGAGGAAGTGGTCTTCAGTAAGAACTTATAATTTAGACTTAAAGCGTTTCCTGATTTGTGTAATACCAACAGCTCCTATCATTTATGATAGCCACCTTGATTTATCTGTACTAACTATGGTGTACAAACTACAAGCTTCCCTTGTTTGCCTGTTTTGTTGTTTAGCCATAATCTCGCATGTATGCTAATTATCTGTTTTGGAATGCTTAAAAGACTTGTTTTTTACTGTTGTATATATATTTTTTATTTATTGAAAAGTATTAGTATTGTCTATGACTTGAATTTTCAAACTCTCTACAAATAACAACATACTGAGGTTGGATAACACACTTCAAATCACAGATAAGATCTGTGAACATCTCAATGCCAAATTTCATTTCTTCTGCAACTTTCTAACACTTTTTCAGTGCCTTCGTTATTTTTGGTTATACTGCCCAAAAGGCAGCATGGTAACTTTTCTATCAGACTCCTTTTGTATGGTTATTTATGTTTATTTGCTAGCACAATCTTCTTCTTGCATTCTCTATATGTTGAATTCTCATGTTTGAATTGTGACAAATGACATGAATTTAGTATAATACTATCACACTGTTCAACATGTGAAAGGAGCTTACCAAAATTCTCAACATTTTGAGCATGCTATCCCCTTATTATCATTGGTTATGAATAATAGTAGGAACTGTGACTACATTGAATTTCTTGGAAATAAAAGTCATTAACTAGTTACACTGAAGTAATTTATAATGTAGAGTGGAATATTTCTGAATTTCAAAATGAAGATTTTACACCGCTTTGTATTGAACACTAGGGAAGAGATTCAGATCATCTGTTGTTTTTTTGTACAAAGAGGCTGTAGAATGGGGTGGGATTGGGAACATGACCAATGGAGCCAACGTTTAAGGTGTCAGTGTTGAAAGACCTTATTAAAAATTAACTTCTTTATCCCTCTGCATTAACTAGAGCACTTCACCGTGTGCTTTTGGTTTGCCCTACCTGCATGAGATATTTACGAAAGGATAATTTCAGTCAGAAATACAATATATTTTCCACTGTCATAATGGCACTCATGAAAGCTCATTTGTGCCAGGAACAGCCTTGAGTTGGGCAAGTTGGAGGACCTAAAGAGGTTGTACTATGCACCACATTGATATACTGAGGATCTGGAGTAAATATAAAAGATGGAGATATAGGTGAAAGGGCAGTTTAAATAAATTATTACACAATTTGTAGCATGGCTGCTTGAGTGCTGGATCGTCCTTTGATGCTGGAGGATCCTGACCGAAAATCATCTCGCAGCTCATATCATCAAAATCTGCAGTTAAAAATGCGTCAAAGTTTCTATTAACTGTTCTATCGGATGGGCTTTATGCTGCTTTATTGTAGTCACTACTCAACCAATATGGAGGTAAATAGTAATTATCTTGTGCTTCTCAGAAAAGATTGGCACGTATAAGTGTGACTAATATTCAACTTTGATGGTTTTAATGATACAATATATAATCACATTTTGATTTTATATGGAGGTGGTTGCAGAATAATGATTGGCTTCATGGGAACCAGAAGAATTCAGCTTCTTTCATAACGAGATCGTTATACCCAACTTACGGCCTAGAATGTAAGCATTAGCATCATGATCTCCTGTATTCATTTCATTTTGTGTTATTTTACATGCTAGTATTTTCAGATGAGGTTGGATGGGTCAACTTGCAAGTTTTTTGCACCCTAAGTGGTTAAGCATGAGGGCCCTTCATTGACATAATGAGCATGAGCTCCACATTCTAGTGCAGGTACTGTTACTCTTTGGATTATTATTCTTTTATCTTTTTTTTGTTCTATACGTCAGTTTTCTCATTTACTTTAACAGGCAATCAGATTTTATTTTATTTTATTCTAATGGCAACTTTCCCTGTATAATTTATTTAATTATTTTAGTTAACATTGCTTCTGAATGATAAAAATATCGGTTGTCAATGAACATATACTTACTCGGCACCATGTTGATAGGCATTCCCAGGGAATCCTTAATGAAGGCTTGAGATGGCATCTTGCATAGATTGATGCACATTCCTACGCAATTGCTCTGCTCTAGAAACCTACAAAAGTTAAAGCAGTTTTATGGAATTAACAAGATGATCCAAGGGTGATGAAATCTTTAATGATGGTTTTGATATTGACGATGATGATGATGACCATCATGATGGCAATGGACAAGAACTGAGTCCAACACACAATCATTGGAGCAGGTTATTTCCGGCATGAAAGTGTCTTAAGTTGGTGAGGTGGGACTCCATCTTGGATTAAACTGTAGTGCTAATTAAATTCGAGGGATATGTTAAAATTACCTGCACTTTTTTATATGGACTACATTCTTTTCTTTTCTGCCATTGAGCTCTGATTCCCTGACCTTGTGGTATTGAATTAATAAAAATGTTAGATTTCATTCACAAAGTTTATCAGAAAAATTATATGAATGTTTTCAGGTTTATGAGTATCATGACAGAAGTTGTACAGCTCAATTGAAAGAAGGCCAAAATTTTTTGGCTTGGTGCTGCATTTTAAGGTTGTGTTACCCCTATCATTAGGTTACTGTATATTCATTGAGAGATTTGAGTGAAACTTCATTATCAGTACCAGTGCCGTAAGTGGTTTATGCATGTTAATGTTTGCTAAAGGGTGACTAATGCTTCAAAACCTTCGTCTTCTTTTTCTCCTTTTGTGGAAGAGATAGCTTTATAGCGTAGCCAGATCTAAATTTATGCAAAGACATGAGCTACTTGCTTGGCTAGCTAGCTTTGCTCTCTCTCTTTGGGTTCATAAAAGTTTAGGGTAAGGGAAACTTTTTCATTTTAGAGCTAAGGCAGATCACAACTTTTCGAGAGGATTTACGTTAGATTTCTAAATGCTCATAAGGGGAATTACTGACAGCTAAGAATCAAATTTAAACCTTTCAAGTAAAGTATTCGATCTCTTATTAATTCAACCAATCAACTTTGTTGGCTCTCTCTCATTTTCTTTAAAGAAAAAAATGAAAAGCCCACCAGCCTTTTAGGAACAAATTCTTGGTTGATATAATAAGATCAGGTAGTAACGTAATGGTCATCACACGCACTTAATCTACAACTAGAAGAAAATCAAGATAAACTCCTCCCCACTATTTAGAAAGAGGATAGAGCCGTCCCAAGATTAGCAAATGGAACTTAGCATGTTACTGATCTGTTTCAAATGCATATATTCAAAACGTAGACATGAATATTGTGAAGGGATATACTTATAATAGGCTTACCTCAGAGGGTCCGACAAGCCAAGAGAAAAACACTGTGGTGAAGGCGGCGAAATATTCCCTTGTGAATTGAGATTGCGGCAGCAATGTTTTTATCTGATCTTGATCACCACAACATCAATGATATAAATCATTTACCTAACAATTTAAAAACAAAACTTGGGAGAGATTGTGCAAGTTTCAGACCCAAAAGATGAATGTGACATGCAAACATGGCTTTTCTAGGTTTGTCTCTTAGTTCTCATGGTTTTGCTTTGTGGCTGATGCAGCAAAAACCTTTCATAGATTCAAAAATAGGGTAGTTTTTTCTTTTCATTAAAAAAAAGTGTGTTGATTTGAGTAAGGTTCAATTAGGATATTCGTTTGACAATGCCATCAGTTTTTGGTATAAGAACTCTGATGAGTTCCATGCAGTAGTTTCAAGGAATAGTTGCCCAAAACTTCAGAAAACTTGCCATGTTTAGAATTATCTTGGGGATGGCACTGTCAAGAGCTTGAATGACTAGCTCCTGCTGTCTGTGAGAATTAAATTTCTTTGACATTATTGCTGTTGTCTCCACCAAGCTCTGATACCCACTCTTCCTGCTCTTCAGTCCTGCACATACATTTGCCACTTTTCAATAGAAAAACTAAAATCTAGATTATGGCAAAGATATAATAGATCACGGATGCAAGGAATGAACCTGTTGCGATTTGGAGACACTGGGATAGATGGTTAATGGCCAATAGATCAAACCAGTTATCATTATGGACACTGGTTTTTGGTGCTACCTCAGTTCTGCCTTCTGCCGATTTTAATATCAACTTCTCTGCCGTTCTAGCTATGTTTTCCGCTGGCCTCGCCAGCACTGCTAGAATAGGAGAACATCCCGGTTTATGTTTCGGCCTTGAAGCCGTGTCTACAAGGCTCCTGCTTTGAGAAAATAGTTTGGCTTCCATATAAGAAAATTTTTGCTGCAGTATGAGAAATGTGAAAGAAGAGTACAATGGCGAGTTAATTGGGAGGGAAGGGCAAGTATATAACAACAAAATGTGCATGTCAAGCATATTAGAGAAGGCTAAAAACTTAGGATGTATAGACATTTGGAATCTTTTGTTGGAAAAATAGTCCAGGATGCTGTGAAAGATGCTTTTTTGGTGGTATTGGAAAAATGCTGAGATCTAACACTACTAGATTACCAGTACAAGTGGACATATGATACTGCTCATACACTGATTTCAGCCGTCTCCTCCTGTCCTTGAGAGTGGAAAATTGAAAATTCCAATGGTTCACAATATCACATCAGGCAGACATTTTCAAAACCCACTGTCATTGGGAAGCATTTTTTTGCCAAGTCACATGCTTAATTTGTTAAATAAAAGTGGGGTGTGAACTATATCTCCTTTGATCAGAGCTTAAACAAATGAATCCAACAATTGTTATGTGAAACCTGGCCCAAATGTATGATCGATCGGAAAGCGTGCTTATGGCACTGAAGAGTAAAGAGAAACATGTTGTTAAGGTCCAACGATAAATGGTTGGACAAACCTAATCTATTTGTAAGGTCCGACGAGAAATGGTTGAAAAAAATAGCCAAATAATAGATCAACCGCTGCTAAATAGGAGTGTTTGTGGGTTAAGTCATATTAGATTTAGGTCAGATTATATTGTATCAAAATTGTACATATTTATTTAAATTTAACTCAATCCAACAATTAAAATTTCAAATTATAATTGTATATACCCAAATTAGTAAATAATTCAACTTGAACCCACCCAAATTATTTTGTTATCCTTTTAAAAATTTTAAAATTAAAGAATATTATTTTTATTTAATTTTTAATAATTTTATTTTTTATTAAAATTTAAAATATAGATAACTTTAGAAACGAGCAACCATCTAAAGTCACTCGTAGGCTACCCTAAACGATTATAAGATGATTCTAAAATTTAATGAATGATCCATGATTCAAAATTTTAAAGCATACACTATTAAAGTCCCAAAAAAATAACAATTTGCAAATGTCTCCATCATCCACCACAAGTACTTTAAAAAATAATAATAACAATTTCACTGAATATTTAAAAGAAACTCGGGTGAACACGCAATACCATGTTACTAAGATTAGAGCAAAGGCTGCATCACTAGAAGAAAACAAAAACAATTTCACAATCATGTAAAATGCAAACGCTAAACTTCACAGCCAGAATCGGATAAAATATCTAGGGAGACCACAGTTAAAACTATCCAACAAACATCTTTCCTACTCTAAACAACCCAAGCTCAAAGGAACATGCCTAGAGAGTTACAGCATATATACTGAGTTACTGACCAGATGTTCTACACAGATTAAACAAGGCCTACAATAAAACGAAAACACATAACAGATAAAAGTACTCAAAAGTCAACATCTAGTTAAAATCAGAAATAACTAATCCTTGGTAGTTTTGTTGATCAGGGACTTGTGAATGTGAGGGATCACACCACCTCCAGCAATGGTACCCTTGATAAGGGTGTCAAGCTCTTCATCCCCCCTAATAGCCAGCTGCAGATGCCTTGGAGTGATTCTCTTTACTTTCAGATCCTTGCTTGCGTTCCCAGCCAACTCAAGAACCTCAGCAGTCAGGTACTCAAGGATAGAGGCCAAGTAAACAGCAGCTGTCGCCCCGACTCTCCCATTTGCAGAAGTCCTAGACTTGAGATGACGATGGATACGACCCACCGGGAACTAATAACAAAAATGAAAAATGAAAAGTGTTAAGGGCGTGGGTTGATTGAGAGAAAAAAAAACCCTTATTCAATCCCAAATGAAGCAAGTACACAGCTACAACCAAGAAATATATTCCAAATACAAGAAAACTTTTAGTTTGCCTTTCATGGTCTCACCAGGGAAACAAGCTTATCCTTTCCCTCCATCACAACAAAGACTACGATTATATAAATAGAATTAAGTAAGTACATATAACCACAATACATTTAACCCATAAAACAGAAACAAAGTATGTGATTAAGTCAAAAACAAAAGCTACACAACAAGTACAGGTACTTAGTTGATTAAGATTACCAGTATGTAGTTAAGTAAAAAATAAAAAGCTGCACAACAAAGTACAAGCTTCAACTTCAAGGTTAGTACCAATCATGCAATAAAAACTTTTGAGAAAGAGATAAATAAACAAACAACAGAAAGAAAGAAAACAAAATTATATGCTCAAACCCAACTAGCTTCTAAACTTTCTAGAAACAGTACTTCTTTTCCGTACGACCAAAATAAGAACTAAAACCCTCCACTGCTATTTTAGCATTCAGAACACCCCCAACAAAGACAAGTCCCAACAAGAATCTAGTAAATACGCAAAAAGTGTGAAAAGCACTAAGGTAGAGGTCGTTGAAACATGAAAGAACAGTAGAAAAAACATGCCCAATAACTTTGGAAGAAAAGAGAGGATATCAACACCACTCTAATCTCAACAAAGACAATTCCAGCATCTTTTTAAGAAATTATTCACAATTGAATTGACCCTTTAACGAATATTTTAAAGAAACAACGTTTTCTAACATCCAAAAGATGAACAACTTGCAAATGTCTCAATCATCAACCGCAAGTACTTTAAAACTTCAAATGTGGTTTCAATAGCTTATGTTTAATAAGATAGAGAAAAAAAAAAGAAATAGACAAATTATTTCATGTTGTTCTTAGGAAAGAGTTCAAAGATCTACATTTTTTTTTTTGTCAAAGAGAAACTTGGACCTAAATAAACTGACAAAAAAAGAATAAATGAAAATTATAAAATATATTCCTTTAGTTTACTTACGAAAGAAAACACAACAATATTCTCATATTTACTCCTTTTAGAATTCACGAACCAAGACATTCAAAGAGACTAAGCATATACAATTGAAAACACAAAAAGGAAAGAAACAAAAACAACAAGATACTACTTTTTGCATTAAACCAAGTAAATGGTAGAAAATTTTGAGAAATACCTGAATGCCGGCACGAGATGAACGAGAAATCGGGCGCTTCTTGTCCTTATCTTTGTCCTTTTCCCTGTTAGCTGCGGTTGTTTTCGCCGCCAAAAGCCCTTTTCCACCTTTTCCTGCCATCTTCGTTCACCTTCAAAAAAACCGATATGTAATTTTCAATTAGAACAAAAAAACCAAAAGAAAGTAAAAATAATGCTAACACAAACTAGTCAAAGCCTAGATCTACAAAAATACTAACCAGATCTAGTCAAAGAAGTTTTCAAAAGTTTACAAATTTAAATCGAAAAAAAATCACAATTTTTCTTTTTGATGAGAAAGAACACAATCTCTGTAGTAAAGAAAATAAAGAGTGGTCATGAGAGAGAGAGACCTGGGAGTGATGGTAAGCCTGAAAGCGAAGAAACAGTGGGGAAAAAAAAAAAGATAAAAGATAAGAGTTAGATTTTTGGGTGAAGGAGAAATGGGCAGGGTTTTATTTATCCTGATTTGGTTGTCATTTTAAATGCCGGAAAACGAAATGGCGGTTAATATTAGGTGGGAAATTTCTTCAATTTTTACATTTCAAAATTTTCGACTGATCTTACCAAACTAACCTTTCTATTTTCCTTGAATTCCATGGCAACCTAGCACTTTGGACCAAACACGGGATCCCATAAACTCACTGGACCTGATTATTTGAATGGGCTGGAATTTAAAGGCCCATTAGACTAAAGGGCTTTGTCCTAGTCCAAACCAGGCCGAATAGTGGAAACTAACTAACAGCCTTTCAGTCAGCGGTCAACCTCCGAATCTTTAGGCGAAACAACCAATGAAGATTTCCTGCGCCGCATTCAATAAGTACATAACCGTCCAAAGGCATTTACAAAATCTGGACATTTTTGTCAAATCGCCGACGCACGCAAACTCACTTCTCTTCTTCCCTTGCAAACCCTTTCGAACGAGCCGACGGGACACAAGCTTCGCAGCTTCACCTCGTAACCTGCGAATAAAAACCCCGACCGGATCCTTTGCTTTGTCGACGAACATGTCTGGGTCCTTCCGTTTCTCGACTTCCTTATCTTCTTTACACTCTGGCGAATTCCCCAGAATGCCCGTTCTTAAACCCCGTATTCACGTGCCTAACCACGTGCCAGCTTCAAAGCGGATGGCGGCCGCCCATTCTAGAGCTATTTTACCCGGAAACATGAAAGTCACGGCTTCTGAGCTGCCTATAACGGTGGAGGAGTCGGTGACGATGACTGAGGTGGAGGGATTAGAAGTTGACCGGATGACGGAGGCAGAGCTGAAGGAGAACGGGTTCAGGAGCACGCGCAGGACCAAGATCGTCTGCACCATTGGCCCTCGCACGTGCGAGTTCGAAGAGATTGAGGCTCTGGCCGTGGGAGGAATGAACGTGGTGCGTGTCAATATGTGCAACGGCACCCGCGAGTGGCACAGAGACGTGATACGGCGGGTGAGGCAGTTAAACGAGGAGAAAGGGTTTGCCGTGGCGGTTATGATGGACACAGAAGGTAGCGAGATCCACATGGCTGATCTAAACGGCGCCGAATCGGCTAAAGCCGAGGTGATTAACTAAGCGCCTTTAAGAGTTAAGCCAGCTTAATGATTAATGGAATTATTTCTGCATGTTAAACTCAGTCTTTTTTTTGTAGGATGGTGAAGTCTGGACTTTACTGTGCGAGCATTTGATCCGCAATCGTGCCCAGAACGAACCATTACAGTTAACTATGATGATTTTGCTGAAGGTAAAATTTTATAAACTGTACAAGTGAATTAAGCAGTAATCATCTTTCAAGATGTGCTATGCTTAGTTTAATTATCCAAAAACAAATGTACCATTTTTATTTTTGGAACAGTTTATCAGTACTGAAGTTGTCCTTTTTTGGGTTTATGGATAAGTTTAGTAGAGGATTTTGTGGTACTTAAATCTGGTTTAAGTTTAGCTTTTTGTGATTTTGTGTGATTAAATTTGTATAAAGATACTATCATTGAATAAACCCACCAACGCTAAGTATAAGATGAATCAAAATTCACATTGCATTTTTTGCCACTTTCATCCCATGCATTGCTGGCAATGAAAGAGCTCCAACTGCCAGCTTAATGACATTTTAAATTCATTTTAGAGCCTCATCCT